TGCCATTAAATTTACTATTGGCTCGGGAAGAGCCTAATTAGGAAGGTATCATTAATCCTAGGAACTGCTAGTGTTTTCGTTCACTTGAAATAGACTACTTGTGTAAGTGTATATGTAAGTGTATATATATGTCATGCGCTAAAACTAAACTCACTTCAATAGTGTGAGCAGGAAAATATTTTCTCCCGTAAATATTAAAGAAGTTTCAAAATTATATATAATATGTGGATTCAGACATGGAAGTGAGATTCAACTGGCGATATAAAGCAAAACTATAGTACACATTTTTTACTCAAAACGCGTGCCTATTATTATTATTATTATTTAATTATTATTATTATTATTATTATTATTATTATTATTATTATGTCAACAGAGTCCATATATTAACCGTTACTTTCTGAATATTGGTTCAGAAAACAATCACATTGAGAAGAAGGCCTCATTTTCTAATCTTTTTCTTGAAAATTGTTTATATTACATTGTCGCGTAAGCGTTAGCGTAAGTATTTCATACGATCATACCTCCACAGATAAAAATTTCGTTGGTTTTAAGCCTGTTTGGAATGTTCCATATTATTTATATCATTGCTGGCCGATTATAATGAGTCACGTCAACTGGTTTTAACATACTTGCAGATAAGATACTCTATATAGGTTTTTATATGAAATCCAGTTTTTTTAAAACAAAGAAAATTGAAGGGAAAACATGCTCCAAATTTAGGAGTTATCCAATTGCATCAAATACTCTTTATCTCATTCACGTAGTCGTACGACATGACGCCCACCGGGAATTATTTATGTCCCTCAAATATAACTACCAGACTATAACATATCTATTTTTATATCAAATATCACTTACCAAGTAAGCTGGGATGATTCAATCTTCATTTCGAATGCTTGTTCACGGGTTGAGCGGATCAGTGCATGCAGCTCGCGCACGCTACTTTTTATCACCTTTTAAATTTGTCCGAAAGTCTAAAACATTTTTAAAATAGGCTTGGCGTATTTTACTTGGAAAAGAGATTCAGCTCAGATAATCTCCTCGTAAACAGCAGACTAAACCCGTTTGAGATCAAAAAATCGAGTTGTAGGATAAAAGCTTCGGCGTATCCACGCTCATTTCTTTCCGGTATGTGACAACGGAAGATCTTAGGTTAAGTGGAATGAAAACCGAATAACTTAGAAGTAAAATATACTCTAAAATAAGATGTGAGAAGATGGACTAATGGTGAATATTTACAGAATTAGTTCATTGTTAAAAAACCAGTCGTCATATAATAGGACATCGATAATTTTGCGTAATGTTCAAACAATTTTTAAATTAAATAGTATTCCCAAAAGGAGACGGAAA